GGACATTAAACGAGAAACTTTTCGTTTTTCGATACTACAAGCTGCACGGTCATCGGCGATCGATGTTTGCGCTTTTAGCCACAGCTGCATACACGTAGGATTTAAATTAACTCGGGTGTTTTCCAGCTGTAGATCGCGGTGAAATTCAAGGGCACGTTCGTGCCAGTTTTGACCCTTTGAACGGCACTTCTCGCGTGGAAACTTGTGCATTGTTAGAGGGTGGCAGAGGCAGAAGGGACACGAGAGGATAGAGCAACTCGGCTAAAGAAGGGTGAACACGTGTGTGTACGTCAGAGCCGACAGTTAAGTGGCGGGTACGCTCGTGTAACGCTACTAATGTACATTTAATGTCTTAAGTTTTGAATGCGGTCGGGCTCCGGGCAAGATAACATCTTAAATATGTTTTTGCATTTACGCGACGAACGGGCGAGGAGAAGAAAAGAAAAAACACACCGGCACCCGGGCGAGAAAAGAAAGTTTTTAACGCGACGACCAAGTCGACGGAACAGCCGCCAGGTAAAGGTACTTTTTTCCAAAGGATCCCCACGTTTTCCACCTTTCCTCCCGCCGTTTCTCTTTCCTTCGCACAAAGGCTACATCAAGAATCTACGATCTCGCTGTCGACCAGGGGAATACCAGAAGTTTTTCCATTCGCCGGAACGACGTGGAAAAGAAAGGACACGTAGGCTTGCTCTTTCTTCCTGCCGTTTCTTTTTTTTTTTTTTTTCTTTTGTATTTGGAAACGATATACAGGATATTTAGCGAGATGAATGAAAACGAAGGGAAGCAGTGTTATTCAACGATACGTAAGGGTAATAGATGGCTTACGGTGCAAACATCCCCTTCCTTGTAATCGAGCTTCGTCCTACGGGAAAATAATCGAGGGGAGGAAGATTGCTCATTCCGAGCTTCGTAAAATACACTATGTTCCATAAACCTGCAGGTTCTCGTTGAGAAATAAAATGAAACAGCCTGGAAAGATACAAATTGCGGACGGAGATCTTACTTTTCTATAAATAAATGGATTCTACGACAAACGAAGGAAACAAAGAAACAAGATAAGAAATTGCAACGTACGCAATTGCAACAGAGAGAAACAATTATTCCAAGGATAATAACTCGGCAAGATATATTTTGAACGAATGAAAATGGGGCGATGTAAATGAAAAAGCTCGTTTCCCGCACGGTATCCACAATTTCCCGACCTTAAGCAAACCAGAACAGATCGAGCGTGTGCGGAAACGCGTTGATACGATAGGCATCGATGTCTAGCGATTCGAAAGAGCTACAAAAGATAGCGAATCCATTGAGACTGTACGATCGAAAGAGGAAGTCCATGATTCCCGTTCTACGGTGCCTCACAGGTGAGCCGATACGAGGCGCGTATTGGAAAGGCAAACAGCGTGTATCCACGAAATCAGGAATGCTTTATTCTGCCACGTTCGCTCCCGTTCGCGAATCTGTGGTCTTATATTCCTTTTCCTATTTATATGCGCCGAAATTTTCTGTTTGAACTGCCAGCCCGACGAAATAACTTCACTCGCGTACGCGTTTTCCCACCAAGACGAAATCAACTAGAAAAAGAAATTGATTCTGATACGGAGAACTACCCAAGTGTTACACTCACTTATTAATGAAACTTTGCTAGCTTGTAGAGCTCGTCGAGCTGAACACGTCTGTACCCCGTTTTGTGAGCAGATGACTAATTGTTTAAAAGATATTAACAATTACAGTTAGTTACTCCTTACATTCTGAAATATGACAAACTCACACATACAACTCGCAATCTAGAGATCCACGGTTTAAATCCTTGGTTCCCAACATTATTTTTTTTTTTAGTGATAATTTGTCTCTTTTTGAATAACTATTACATAAAAATTATCATAAAAAAAAAAAATTTTGGGACCCAAGGATTTGAACCGAGAACCTTTAGATTGCGAGTCATATGTTTAACTACGGAGCGGGTCGATGACTCGCAATCTGAAGGTCCTCGGTTCGAATCCTTGGTTCCCAAAAAAATTTTTTTTTTTTTATGATAATTTTTATGTAATAGTTATTCAAAAAGAAACAAATTACCATTAAAAAAAAAAAAATGTTGGGAACCAAGGATTTGAACCGCGGTAACTAACTGTAATTGTTAATATCTTTTAAACAATTAGCCGTCTGCCCCCAAAAGGGGGTATAGGCGTATTCAGCTCGACGAGCTCTACAAGCTGGCAAAGTTTCATTAATAAGTGAGTGTAACACTTGGGTAGTTCCTCTTGTGAAAGATAATTTATTCTGATTAACGAAGCAATTAGCGATCGTCGTCGATGATAGACCTAGAAACGATCTAGTAGACTGAGGTTCGTTCGTATGCATAGAAGGGTATGTTTATTGGCTGACACGTAAAATCGTGAGCCTCCGATGCCATCGATATAGTCCTCTCCCCTTTCCTAACTCGTCGACGGATCTTGCATATGCGTTATATTAATATGTATTTAAATTAGTATCTCAAAGCGGTTCGAAATTACAACGCGCGCTGCCTCTATAATTTGGTACGCGATGGATCATGGAAGTAGCATCTAATCTCTGATAGAAGGAAAAGCTTGGAAAAGGTCGAGGGAAATCGAATAGCTACTGTTTTCGTATTTCTTTCTCACGGTTTTCACTCGAAACGGAACAACGGTAGAAACGGTGAATGTTTCTCGAGGAAGTTCAAAGAGGTAGAGAAGACGAGTTGAAGAGAAACCTAACAATCGTCGATCAAATCGTTACGACAACGCCGCAGTAATTTTCTTTCACCAGACCGGTGAAAGACTTTCGAATAAGGGAGGAGCATTTACCGTGGAGAAACGTCAAGGTGCATTTTAACGAGCCAGCTAGAAGAGTAACCATCTGGATCGAAGCTTTCCTCTCGAACGGGACGCAAATTAAGTCGCGAAAAGATCTAGAAATGACTGACGAAAGTTTAATTTGAAACGAACCAGTCTCGTTCGATTCCTCTTTCTAATCGACAACAAATTATTCTCTGTTGCGATTATTTTCGTTGTAATACGCGAGAACGATCAAAATATACGCGTGAAAGTTTTTACATCGAACATCTGGCTAGCTTCGAATGTTTTCCGCGTTGTTTAAAACAAACTGGTATAAATTGTCCGTAGACGAGAGCCGGTTTTTATCGGAAAATAATATTTCCCGCTTCCTTCTTTTTTGTTTGCTATGCAACAAAGTCCGACTGCGAAAAAATTACAAACATCCGTGTAAACCGAAGTGAACGATACCGAATGAAATTTCCGATAAAATTTCAATACACGGCTATGAAAAACTTTCAACCTGAAAATATGTATTTTCGAAAGAGGAAAGTAAATAAATGATACGTGAAACAATTGAAAACAACGTGAATTTACCTTGCTTCTCAAGGTACATAATAGATGGGTGAAAAATATTGCACTACCGTGTATTGTAAGTCAAAAGAGATTTCTAGTACACCGATAAGCGTCGATAGCAATGAAAGGGTTAAGATAGTCGCGTGTTCGTTAATCGTTGCAAGGTGGCTACTGCTGCGTCAAATCGTTTAAAACTTGGGAAACGGCTACTAAAGCACTTCAGAATTTACCCCGATCCTCTCTAATGTATCTTGTTCACCCACGCAAGCGTGAGAGAGACTCGACTACTTTCTTATTTAGCGATAATTACGAAGCCCATCGCTCGGTTTGCCGTCCCCGTGATCTTAAGACTTCCTGCATCGGCTTTTATCCATTGAACAAGCCTGCACCGATATCACCGCGAGATATTGCACGTTGAATGGAAAATTGATTAACACCACCACTGACTCGCCATTGTGTTTCATCAGCGTTTACTGATGGTCCTTATTTCTACCCCAAGCTACTTACAACACTCATTTTCTATAGCCTCTATTTTTATTCTAAATCTTTTTTGAAATTTAGAAACACAATGCTGGATAGAGTAACGCTCTAAAAATTTTCCAGGCTAAGTAATTTTGTGTCATCTAAAATGAAATATTAAATAATAAGATAAAATGAGATATTAAATAATATCTGTTACTAAAAAGTTCAACGTGCCAGTTTTAGTTGCTTACTTATTTTGTACTCTATATTCGAGTTGGGTGAAGATAATGGGAAAGCACCCTTCGCGTCGTGTTTCTTCGCATCTAATCAATTTTTTCATAACTGATACTTGGCCGGAACGATCTTACATACAGCCCGAGCGAAATTTACCCGAGGAAAGCATCGATGAAATTTCCCGAGGAAGAGTAAGATGCAATGAAAGTCTCGTTTTTCAACCGGCATTTAAGCTACTTTACAATTTAACGAGCGAATAGCTGAATAGTTGAACTGAAGGGAATGATAAGACAAATTTGCGTTCTTTCGAAGTGGAATAGATAATACGCGGGAGAAGGAAAATTATTGCCGTTCGAGGAGAGAAACACGAGGACCGTGTGCAAATAATTAGTACCAAACGCGAATGTCTGCTCCTATAATAGATAATAACGTGGCGCGTGTGCCAGAAATTGCGTTTAAGAACCAAAGTGTACACTTCCGAGAAATAAAACAACTCGACGTCTTAATTCACCGTTAATTATTATCTCAGATATTCCCGGAGAATGCGATGAAACTAATAAGCGTTCTCTCGATGCTTCAACAACGGATCCGAATAGTCCGCAAATTTTTCGCGCGTTTCCCTCAACGTTTCAGCAAACGAATGCCAGGGAAGTTTGCGTCGCGAATCTAATCGAAATATAATACTAATTTACTTGATATAAACCAGCGCTATTTTCCCCCGTCGGTAATTATTTATCCTGCAATTCCTTTTCGGGTTCCCTTCGTAATTACGCGAATTCCATTAGCGTCCATCGTAATAGATAAAACATGTATTAGATAAAATATCCTCCTTCTCGGAATCATAGTTCTTCTTTCTTCATTTATATTATCGCGTGTCACAGGAGACACGGTTATCTCAACTGGCAGTCAACATGCTAATGATTCATAAAGACTTACCTTGGCACATGATGGTGATGATGTGAAGTATACTGATGGTCAGATAACGTCTTCTCCTCTGATTGTCCGCCATTTTGTTACCGTTCCAGGCCTTGTGTCTCGAAGCTTATCTGCAACAGAGTGAGAGGAGAAAAAAAATAGAGTTAACAACGGTAATAAATCATGGGATAATAAGCTGTTGTTTACCCCCGTGTTTTGTCCAACGAAATGGTAAAGCACGTTAAGGGGTTGTACGAGACACGTGAACAAAGCGGCAAGGTTGATCGATAAAGCCAGCTTGAAAAGGATTGCTGGCAATTAATAAATAAGCCAGCTCTGTCATTAGGGGCGCGATATCAGATGTACACGACAGGAATATGTAAATATACGTCCTACTCCAGGATGCGGATCCGAATGCATATTGACGTGCATCGTATCGTTGATTCGTCGATACGTTGGGAAATCCACAAGGCCGTGAAATCATTAACGCATGGCCAAGTCAGTGTAATAGGGGGATGCTATAATTAACGAACACCCAATGTTAATCAGGTTTATTGGGCTGTAATGTATGTACGAGCACTCGAAACATATAGAAGGCAGTACCGTGCAGTTGAATACATAGGGAAATCTATAGAAATCAACTTCTGAGTTGTGTCGATGAATAAGGTGAATAAAAATATGGGGCTTCGAGGAAGTGAGAATTTACAGATAGTGAATGAACGAATCAATCTGTAGGTTGAAACGAAGAGTTTTTGAAAACAAGTTAAGAGGATTTATTGTTCGATTCGATTCATAATTATGCGAAAATCCTCGCAGTTTCTCGAATTAATGCCGTCAGAAACAGACAGGGTGGATGGTTGTTTCCCGTTTTCAAATTGACAGGATCTCGTGTCAAACGTTTTATTTCGTCGCGGGCAGAACAGGGGTGAACGGGCGAGAAACAAGGCAGGTCAGCGCACGAGATGGCTAATCTACAAACAAATTGAAATTTAAATTCGACTAATTAACAAAAATATAATACGAACGAGTTCCTAAATTAAATTTCCCTGGAACAGTGTTCTTTTTTTTTTTCATTTATCCTCGCTAACGCGAAGCACAAGTTTCGCTGATGCGAACCGCTCTCGTGACCCGAGAGGCCGATATTTCGAGCTAATGATTAAAGTAACACGAACGTCGGCTGAATTTATTTTATCGTTCTCTCCGAGCTCTCGCTTATTTCGCTAATTACTTATTATACGCGATTTCACGTCGTGCCGTCACACGTGCAAACCGAATAAAGAAAAATGAAACAAAGAAAGGAAAGAGAAGCGAACGCGTGCGGCGTTTAAAATCCTTTTCGCGCGGACGATTATGTATTAATCGAGCTCGAGAAGAAACAAGGTTTACCTTCTCGCGAATTAATCTATTAAAACATGAAAAATGTTTACCAAATATTTGACGTTGCACTTTTTTGTCACCCACGCAAGTAGAACGCAACAATTTTCAGTGTACAAAGCTAACACCGTTCGTTGTTTAATCCGAACAAAAGTTTCGGCCGATGAACGTGGAGATTAAAGTTGATTTAAAAATTTCACGTTTCGAGGGGTAACATTGTCACAACGAGATTTTTTTTTTTTTTTTTTTTTTCGATTGCAAACGCAAACTGCTCGAATGCGAAGTGGTAGGTAACCGTGGTACTTGATTCATTGCGTTATTACAAGTTTTACGAGTTAATTAACGGAGATTTTTAGAGTAATATCACAGGGCCACTTCGGTAGAAGCAGCTCTTGTTATTACATCACGCTTTTACACATCCACGGCGTTGAAATTACCGGGGTAACTCCAGTTATCGCGGCTCGACCCATAATTAGTAAACTCGGTTAACGACACGACGCCCGTTCACTGACGCTATCGTTGCCCGCTCTTTTTTTTCCCTTCTTCTTCATTTTTCCTCTTTTTATCGTAAACTCCTTTCCTACTAACCGTGACGGTCTAGTAAGTGCACAACGAGAAGTTACACATGGCCATCGGCATTATCCATTACCCTATCTCGTCACGGATTGCCAACTAATAAACGCCCGCCAACTTTCCTATCCCGGCCGACAAGTTTAAACAAGCTTCGTGCTAGCTTATCGTCTCAAATTTTCTAACGGTTAAGTGTATAATATCCACCGTTTTAACAGTATTCCATTTTAAGATATTTTAAAAAACACATTTCATCCATGCCCTAATTACCTTATCCGAAATGGCCACCTTACCGCACTTCCCATCGTTCCTGATTGTTTTCACGACATCGGTTGCGCGAAAATCGGAAATAGTCACCGGTTGAATAAATATTCTGAATATTCATACGAAGGGGAAACGGAAGGGCAGAGGGAAATACGTCGAGGGAACGTTGGTGGTAATCGGAAAATTGTCGCGACACTTGCACGCGGGCTAACGATTATTATATCGTTTTTACGAGTCTGTTTACCGGTAATACGCGTACCGTGCCCGTTAACGGCGCCGATTGTTTAATCCAATTTTGAACAAATGGCCGTTAGCTTGGAAGCAAACGAGCGTCGATGCGTCGACTCGCATCGACCTCAGCGGGTTGCCTCTCCTCTATACCGCCGCTGCCCATCCAGATTTACGATCCGATTTACAAATTGGCGGTTATTGTGCCCCGCTCGGAAATCAAACTGTCCTGTAAATCAAAACGTCTGCCAGCGTTCATTAAACGTCAGGCAAATCCCGGAAATCGGTCGTCGCAACTCGGCCGCCCACCCGTCTCTTTCTCGATCCGCGTTTCCGTTTCCGCCGTCCCGTCTCGTGCAACCCCCGTCCGACCAAACCCGACCAGACGGACGGACGTACGGACGTTAACGTCCCCGAATTTGCCGCCCTGTTCCACGCCAAGTCGTAAACCATTCCCCTCGAACGCTTTGTTTTTCCCGCTCGTACGCGAAACAACGAAATAACTCGGCGCGGAAAGCGTCGTCGAAAATAATTGTTTAATCTGCGCGGCCGTGACGAATCCGTAGTCTAGTCTGTTCTCGACGTCGCGTCGCTTCGTTTTATTTTTACACGATGCCTGCATTTAAAGGGATTGCTTCCGGCTGCTCTCTTTCTCTCTCACCCCTGTGCAAAGTCGAGTAACGGAGAGAGCAACGTGATTTGTTAAACATGAGAGAGAAAGTCTCCTTTTTATGACGTGAAATTAATTCGCGAGTAATTTGCGATCGAACGGAGAAAAACTGTGTAACGCGATTTATACGCATTGGCAAACGACTTTGTTTTTTAATCGATTACATCCGATCGTGAAAATCCAACGCAACGACGAGATTTAAACGCAATTTTTCTGCATTGGTTAACCACTTTCAGGATAATAGGTCACGTTCGATTTCGAAATGCAACGTGACGGCGCGATTAACGAGAATCGGCGTAAAATGAAACGACGGACCGTGTAAAATATTCCCGCAATTGCGATCGTATGTTGGAAATCACGTTCGCACGCGTAAATCCTAAACCTTTGCCCAGCTGGGATCTTTCTTTTATTCTTCTCCTACTTTCTTTTTTTATCGGTGACGTTACTTTTACTATCTGCCCGCGTAGTGCCGCAAAACAGCGTCGATAGAAAAGCTTCGAGACGATCGACTGTCATTGTAGAGCGATCGATCTCCGATATCGAGCCATGAAATTTAGCTTATCAATCTTTTTCTTCGGCTTCGATCGCAATCGGTGAATTTCAACAGTGAAACGATTAAAAATCGCCGTTAATTCGAGACTGATTTATGAAACGAAATCGAAATGCAATAAAACTGTCGGGTGTATATACGTTTACCAGTCGATGGAAGGTTCGGGGAAAAAATCCCGTGGAACGATAGGAATTATGGGACTGAACCGCGGGAAGAAAAATGAAAACGATACATTTTCCGCCCCTATTTTTCCTTTCGAACGAGCCAGCGCGGTAACTCTTTTTTCACGACACGATCTTCATTAAAACTATGCGAGGATCTTCGTAGTCAAATCGATTCATTGATTTCGTGCTGACGAAACGATCGGTCGATTTCTTTTTTTACACCTTTAGGAACAAAGGGCGAAGGAATAGGGAAAGGGTGGTAAAGAGAAGCGACGATTATTGAAATCGTTTGACATTTCGTCGCTGAACTCTGTCCAGCAATTTTCCTATTTGGGTCAGGCAAGATGACACGGCCCGTGACTCTGACTCTACCCTTTCGTGTGCCTGCTATTACGGTACGCTCGTCGACGAAGAAGAAGAGAGCAAAAGGCGGTATCGAGTCGATTGAAAGTACGAAACGCGGGGAAATATGCTTTTTCTTTTGAACGTCGGTCAGAGATTGCTGGAAATTCCAGCTATGACGATTTTCATGTTCAACGTATCAGTCTCGTTAATTCGCATGAAAACCTTTCCTAACGAGAAGGTTTTGAATAGTCGATATTCTCTACATCCATCCCTTGTATTTACGTTTATCATTCAACTCCTAAACGAGCGAGGTCAAAAGCTAAATAGATTTGTAAATCGATGAGTCTATGTTAAATCCTCCCATTAAAATGTAGTCTATTCGTATAATGAGTGTTTTCCATCCATAAAAAATCAATAAATTCATTACTATTTCAAAATTAATACGCAACAATGTATATGTAGAGAAATCGAATTAGCAGGAATTCGAGAAAATAATTCAAATTACGTGGATTTTGTAGAAGGGATCATAAATCTCGGGCTAGGTGCAAATAACTCATTCTCGATAGTTGCGTTTGTTCCGTTGATGCGAGCCACGAAGTTGCGGCAAAACTCGGCGACAAATCGCGAAGCAAACACAGAGAAGCGATTGCGACAAAACGCTCGTAATTACATTCCGGAAGCGAGCAGCTCGAAAAGCGAGGTGGCGTGCGTTCACGGTATCGTTTTGTGTCTTGGATAATTGCCGACACGCGATCCTGCCACGTATACACGCTCGAAAATACAGACCATCGCACCGTGTACCCGCTAATGCGCCGTTTCACGTGCGTGAGCCACATTCTGGCCTGCATTCCATAAAAATAAAATCCCCATTAGACGGACTTTCCTGCTCCACCTACACCTCAGACCGATGGTAACAAGTTCCACTTTTTTCCCTGAACTTTACGACGAAACGTAGAAGAAAAAGTA